TCGGTTCTTTTCTGTAGCAGGCAGACAGATCCTGCAAGAGAGAAAGCCAAATCAATCCAAATACTGGATACAGGTTTTGCCGTTGTAATTCAGAAAACAGGAAATCATAATTATTTAGTCAGCAGATATTTGTGGTTCTACCCATCGGCCACATCTGTGTTAAACTCCAGAGCATAGCAGACCAGACACTGGTCCCTGTCCCTACTGCTTTTCCAGTCTGGAAGGTCATTAACATTTGGTTTGGTGTTCCCTGCGTGCCGGGCCATTCGTACACTTAGCTTGTATGAGTATCTCTTCTTCACAACAGTCAAGTGAACCAGGTACTGTGTTGTCTGCATCTTACGGATGAGGAGGCTGAGGCTTGAAGAGGCCAACAATTTGCTCATTCGTACAGCCTCAGGCCTGGGAGGAGGCAACATGCTGGGTCAATGTGCGCCGATCTTTTAAGGCCCCTGTTTCAGCTCACTTGGCTTGAAAAGTCAATATACAAATAATTTTTAATGATTCTGGGACAGGTCAGCGTGAGATAAAAATCCAGGAACAGCCCTGAAATACCATTATTTCGTGTTTGCCCACGTGTTTGCCTTTTTTTTTTTTTAAACTGGCCATTTTGTCAAGATTCCAGCTGAACTGCTTTAAGCATCCTGTCTTGGGGACGTTACCGGGCAGGGAAAACAAACACAAAAACCGAGGGCAGCTGGGGCAGTCAGTGCTTTTCTCCTGCGAGGACTCGGCCATGTCCGAAGAGCGTTTCCCACTCTGGTGTGGTGGAGACGTTGCTGTTACCCTCTTTCTCTCTGTCCCCAGGAGTACTTCCTCCAAGCAGAGCTGACCAGTAATGTCTTGAAGACTGGAGTAGTGCGCTGCTGCGTGGGACAGTGCAACAATTCCATCCCCGTGGACACCGTGCTCACCATGAAGAAGCTCCCCATCACTTACGTATGTGGTCTCGGCAGGTTGTACTTTCTGTAGGATTTGATTAAGTCGTTTGCATCTTCTTATATGCGAGCGTGGTCTGGGAGACTGGGTTGGGGCCCGACGCTTACAGGACCACTGTTTCCCTGGAGGGCCCGGTTCGGTTTTCCTTGGCTCTTCACCCCTTGCCTTGATAAATTCTGGTTTCTGCCCCAAAGGAATTTGATAAAGTGGAGTCTACCCTAGATGGCTGTGCTGAGGGATATGTCACCTCAGAGGTTTGCCCACGTCGGAAAACATCAGAATAATAAGGCTTAGTCTCTTGGTGGAAAATCCCTGCTGTCTGATCGTCCCCCTGACCTCTTTTTCTTCCCCCTCCCTGCAGAGCAACAGGAAGGAAAACAAGGGTGGCTACCTCTGCCACTCCTGTGCGGAGCAGCGCGTCGGGCCCTTGGCCTTCTTGACGGCCTCCCCTGAGCAGGTGCACTCCATGGAACGCACCATTGAGAACATAGTGCTGCCCAGACACGAAGCCCTGCTCTTCCTTGTCTTCTGAAAGCCAAGAGGAGCTTTCTCCACGGTATAGAATGCCTTGTGTGGACTCGAGTTACTTGAAGAAAGCCAGTGTGGGGTAGGGTTCTCACTCAGCCGAGACTCTGAATTCACTCACAGAGCATTTTTTGAGGAATACGAAGCCAACGAGAGTTGGACCTGCCATTTCTCCATTCCCTGTAGGTAGCCAGTTCCCACTGCCCCTGCTCTATGCGCATCAGGCTGGGGGTGCGGGGGATGTTCTTTTGATAAAAAAACATTTTATGTATTTAAACTTTTATTACAAGGTTTCAATTAAACAGGCATTGTAGCACTGGCATACGCTGCGTGACATTGGCCTCAGCCCTGTGGTTTTTGAACTTCCTCCAACTTTCTCTTTGTCCCACTCACTCTTTTCAACATCTGTGTCCCTGCTCACATGATGATCAAGCAGAGTATGAGACTTCATGTCTGGGCGATAATTGACAGATCAGAGCACGAGAGGTTTTTGTGCCGTGGGGAGTCACACGTGTATGGCGTGTAGCGTGTACCTTCGTCATGACACGGGGTTCACAGTTTGAACAGGGGAGCAGCGTAATACACGAAAAGACAAACACAGAGTGACAACAGCCAGACTTCTTGTGTTGCCCCCCTGTAGAACGGAGGATCAGAGAAGTGGAGTTGTCTGGCCACTGTGGGGGCGGGGAGAGGGGTCTCGGGAGAGACGGGAGATTGGTACCTGGTTCACTGCCTGGGGATGCTGGGTGGATGTAATAAAGCAATTCTTACAGAAACCGATGACAAAACTCACATCGTCTAGATGTACATGGATCTGGTATTTTTACGTTTCTGCCATACAGCACTTCAGGGATGCAGATGACAGGTGGGGGAGTTGGCACGGCATTGCCCAAAGAGCTCACCACATCTAGTCTCTGAGCCCACCAAGCGGCGTCCAGGAGCGGGCCTCGTAGCTCCCGTTGTCACAGCCTCCCCTTAGCCTCCTCCATCAGCCTGGTGGAGCTTAGAATGCGGGCCGGTGAGTAAAGCAAGCGTGCTGTCGGATGGGGCTAGGGGTGCTCTAGAAGGGCGAATGCCAAGTTAATGTTTGCGTATCGAGGAGTGTTCCCAGAACGGGACCTGAAGGCAGACGTGGGAGACTTTAATGGCCACGGGATGGGGCTGTTTCATCCACTCTGCCAGGATTCCTGGCCTCGCCTTAATTAATGCTTAATGGATGACTCAGAATAAAAGAGCAAGTGAAAGGGATTTGAATTTGGGTTGGTCATAATTTCCATTGTCCTTCAAAAGAGGGATTTGGGGGAGGGGTAGTAAGCAAGGGTTCATTCACGTGTTTTCTGGAAATCAAATTGTGCCAACCAGAGGGAAAGCCACGTATTTGTTGGAGAAGTCATCAACTCACCGAGCCGTCATGGAGCTCCTGTGGTGTGGCAGGGGCGGTGTACGTGGGCGTATGGACTCACAGTGTGGTCCCCGGCTCCCGGAGATTTGGAACCACAAATGTGACTGTAGTTGGAGGTGAACCAGGAGCGGGGGGAGGGCCGCAGGGGTGCTGGGGGACGGACGGGCATCCTTATCCACAGGGGAGGTCGGAGGGTGTCCCGATGGGAGTGATGCTGGAGTTGCATTTCCCAACGGGACAGGCAGTTAGCTGGCTGTTCAAGGTGGAAAAATTTTCTAGGAGGAAGGACAAAAAGGACGTGTGTGGTAATGGTACTGCCAGAGCAAAATGTCAGGACTAGCATTTTGGTACGAGTTTTAAAAAATAACAGGATCTAGGAGTATTAATACTAGTGTTTCATTTTTTAAGTGTTAAGAATTTTGTTTTGTTTTGTTTTTGAGAGGGAGAGTGCGTGAGCGTTGGGGGGGAGCGGGCAGAGGGAAAGGGAGAGAGAATCTGAAGCAGACTCCCTGCTGAGCGTGGGCCCCAGTTAAGGGGCTCGATCTCACAACCTTGAGATCATGACCTGGGCCGAAATGAAGAGTTAGACACGGAAGCGACTGTGCCGCCCAGGTGCCTCTCAAGTGTTAAGAATTTTTTAAAAATTAGTGAAACTAAATATTTGGTGTGTAAGAAAAATAATTTGTACATAGCAGCAAAAATAGAAATGAAAAAAATAAGTGTTAAATATCTGTTGTCATTTTAATAGGAGTGATTAGATGAGAAAAATAAATGCATTACTCAAAAATGTAAACACTACATGAAAATGAAAATCCACTAAATCTTTTTAAAAGTAGAGTCTTTAAGATAAGAGGCTTTCATGATTTTATTTAGTTGGGAATGTTTTTTTGTGCAGGATTTTCTGTATTCTTTTTTTTTTTTTTTAAACCCACAATAATGGGGAAAATAAGGAAAATAGTTACAAGCTAGTTCTGAATATTTTTCTTTGGCTCATTAATTTTTTATTAATTTCTCTTATTTGATGCTCAGAGGAGATCTGTTGGAGTTCTTTAAGAATCTTCAATCTATTGATAGCCAGCTCTAGTTCTTCGTTTCAAAGAAAGCATTTCTGATTTGTCTCCACCTTCTCTGATTTTATCGTGTGTGTAGAGATTCTGATGCAGCTGCCCATATAGACATGAATGCTGTTATGTGTGAAGGTACTTGAAATAAAATAAGAATTGTTCTTGCAACATCAGTGTTAAAATACCACAGTGTATCCTAGACCATGCATTAGTTTGTTCCTTCACGTAATTATCCTCAAGACGTCTATCAGATTTTAGATTTTTAAGAATATAATGAGGTGATGGTATTGGGGCAACCGACAATATTTGTTGATAGATATTTTAAAATATGGCAGCATACCAGCCGCTGAAAGTGCAGCCACCGGGGATGTGAGGCCGTGGGACACTCTGGGCTAGAGAAGAGAGGTCTGTGTGGCTGGAGTCTAGTGCGCGCACGGCAGTAGCAGGCTCGCAGGGGCCAGGCCGGCCATCCAGGGACGTGAACAGCAGGCCAGTGAGTCTGAGTGTGATTTGGAAAGATTCTGAGGAATCATTGTGAATTTTAAGACCTCAGATTGCCTTTTTTAGGAAGAGCACGCCAGTTGTAGATTGGAGGACGTTTTACAAAGGTCAGGCAAATTAACTGTTACAGTCCCAGCACAGGGGATGTGTTGCTGGACTAGGGGAACGGAAATGGACGGTGAGGAGTGCTGCTGACTAGATGAGTGGTTCTCAAAGTGTGGTCCCCAGCTGAGCAGCGCCAGCATCACCTGGGAACTTGTTAGAAATACAGATTCTCAGTCTGGGTCACAAACTGTGATGTTGAGGCCCAGCTGTTGGTATTTAACAAGCCCCACAAGTGATGCTTTTGCACACTAAATTGTGAGAATTCTTGTTCTTGATGTTAAGAAGGTAGAACCAGTAGGACCTTGAGAGAGCTGAGATGAGGATGGACTGTGTGTGGCAGGGTCTCAGCGGGACTTCCGGTCATCTGGCTTGTCGGCCGCAGGATCTGAGTGGGGCTTCCGGTTGTCTGGCTTTTTGCAGGGTAGATGAGGGCACCCTCCACTGAGGCAGAACGTGGGAAATTTAATAGGTTTGTGAACACAATGATGACTTCGGTTTTTGGCATGTTGAATTTGGGGTGCTTCTGAGAATTCCAAGTAGGTTTGTCCAGGAGGTTGTTGGGGAAACGGATCTACACTTCAACAGATTGCTTTGGGCTGGAAATAGAGATTTTAGGGTTGTGAGTATGTAAGTGGCAGTTAAGGTAGTTCAGTTTAAGGGTCTTGTGCTTATTCCAGCAGAATAATGAGAATGAAAAGAGCACAGGTGTAAGAAGCCCCAGGAACACCAGGCCTGGGGTAAAGAAAGGAAGAGGATTTGGTGAAGGGAGTGATAACGGATTCCAGGAGATAGAGTTGCTACTGAGGAAGAGATGAGGAGCTTAAACAGAAGTGGCCGTCCGCACCTAAGTCAAGTGAAGGTGGAAAGGTGTTTGTCTAACTGACACTCCGAAGTCCATGGTGGCATTAGCATGGACAGTTTCAGTGAGGCTAGAAGCCAGTGGGCAGTCGGATGTGGGTGGGGACTCCGGGTGATTTGGTGGACTAAATATGTCTTCTGAAACCATACTAAGTGGCAATAAAAGGATTTTTTTTTAAAGGCATAAACCTACAAGGGCAAAGAAAACAAAAAGGAGGTAATAGTCATAAAATTTTGGAAGTTGGAAAGCAGATGAGTGAGTGGTAACTGACTTAGCTCATTGAGTAAACTGAGTCCTAAGCCCAAGAACTCTCAAAAGATGTGGGGATTGATGGCACTAGGTTCTTCTAGAAGGAGGGTGTAAAGGTGGAGCAAAAACCAGGAAGATTGGTAGAAAAGTTTATTTAAAAGTTTATTTAGCGGTGCCTTGGTGGCTCAGGTGGTTAAGCATCTGCCTTCGGCTCAGGTCATGATCTCAGGATTCTGGGATCGAGCCCCACATCGGGGGGTCCCTGCTCAGCGGGGAGTCTGCTTCTCCCTCTCCCACTTCCCCTCCCTCCTGCTTGTGCACTCCCTCTCTCTCAAATAATAAAAAATCTTTTTTAAAAAGTTTATTTAAAAGCCAATTAAGGGGCACCTGGGTGGCTCAGTTGGTTAAGCGTCTGACTCTTGAACTCAGCTTAGGTCTTGATCTCAGGGTCGTGAGTTTGAGCCCTGTGTTGGGCTCCACGATGGGCATGGAGCCTACTTTAAAAAAAAAAAGGAAAAGAAAAAGAAATAAAAGTCATTTAAATCATCAGATTTCTGGGCAGCTTTTCATGCTCAACCGTAGCAGAAGACCAGAGGTTTAATCTCTCAAGTGGACCATGTCACATAAGAGACTCGGCGTAGCTGAGGGCATAGTGAAAACAAGGCCATTGTCTTACTGTGCTTGGGCTGCTATAACAGGAGGCCACAGCCTGGGTGGTTCATGAATAACAGACATGTATTCCTCAGAGTTCTGGAGGCTGGAGGTCCAAGATCAGGGTGTCAGCAGACTGATGTCTGCTGAGATCCTGCTTCTTGGTTCATGGACGGCCACCTTCTTACCGTGCCCTCATATGGTGGGAAGGGCAAGGGAGCTCTCTGGGGTCTCTTTTATAACACTAATCCCATTCATGAGGGCTCCACCATAATGACCTAATGACCTCCCGAAGGCCCCAGCTCCTGATACCATCCCCTTGGGGGTTAAATTTCAACATTTGAAGTTTATACACACACAAAAACATGCACATACTGGCACACATACTCTCCGTGGGAGGTGGCCAGTTCCTTCGCTGGGGAATATAACCCACTTCAGCAGAAACACTGACAGTGACACCAGGGCTTCCCAAGGAAATTGGCCAACCAGATCACCCAGTGCCAAGAGCTCACAAACTTCAAACTCCACCCAAGTCCTCAGATTTTCAAACACATTAGTGCCTCACTCTCACATAGTAATAAACCAAGGATTGCCAAACATCTGAAGAGAAATTCCAAGGTGAAGGTTGGATATTAAAACAAACAGAATCAATTTTGAGGAAACAGTCCATGCAGGGAAAAGAAACCATCTAAATTTCTTAGCATATTCAGAGAATAAGAGAAGACAGTGCATCCATGAAATAACAGGATCAAGATAAATATATATATCCACACACATATATGAATGTTTGGACGTAATTAAAAGTACGAAAAAACCCAATAGAATTGTTGGAAAGATAGTTTGAGAAAATATCCAGAAAGTAGAGCAAAAACAAAGATTGAAAAAGAGGAAATATGTAGTCAGAAATAATTTAAGCAGTTGAGCATCTGAATAATGAAAGTTTCAGGAAGAAAAAGAAAGAATTTGGGAAATTTAAAAAAAAGATCATCAAAATTACCCACAGCCAAATACATGAGTTTCCAGATTCACATGCTCAGCAAATGCTAGGCAAAATGGATGAAAACAGACCTACGGTGAATTTGTTAGGGTGAAATTTTAGAAACACCAGAGACAAAGATCCTCCAGGCTCCCAGAAAGAAAAAAAGTCATCTGCAAATCAAATGTCTTCAGACTGCACAGCAACAGCACTGTGGAGCTGTACCTTCAGAACTGAGGACAAATGATTTCCAGCTTAGAATTCTAAGCCAAACCAATTGAGCAATAGGATAAAGGCACTTTGACACAACTATTTTATCTACCAAGAAGCTACTGGAGGATTGAAATACATCAAATCAAGAGCAAAACAAGAAGGAGGAGGACTCTCCTCTAAGAAACAAGCTACCCAATGCAGAAGGGAGTGGAAAGCATCCCACATGTTCCTGAACACCTTGGGAGGATACTTAAAGTAACAGAGTGTTCAGGCTGGAGTTGGTGATAAACACCAGAAAACGAAGCAAATGGGGCGGGGAAACAAGGACATCATTAATTCTCTAAAATTAAAGCAACAGGTTGTGTAGACGAGAAAAAGTAATGACAGGTAGTTTACTACCTCGCTCAGTTGCGCATAGGTAGGCTTCCTAATGTCAGTGTGTGTGTCTGAGGTAGGGAAACGTGTGTGTGGGGGGGTGTTTGACCTTCAACTTTCACAGTAGGAAGTTGTCTACCGTGCCTGGAACTGAGAAATGGAAGTAGATGTCAATAGGAGCTTATCTAGAGATACAGGATGCACACCAAAACAATCTGCTCAAAGATTTTTAAACAATTTACTCCCCACGGGGGGAAGATAGAGAGATAGGGTGCTTTTCCGGTAAGGTCTCTCATATCATGATTGGCGTGAACTCCGCCTGTATGACAGACCTTTAGAATAGGAGTGGGAAGTAAAAACCGGACACCATCCACATAGATGAGCCTCAAGTGAGGCTGGGAATAGGGAAGACAGTGGATGGGGGTTGATGTGGCATCGGGGAGGGGAGTTCATCTTTAGAGTGCAAGAAACGTGAGCATGCCTCCGTGTTGAGTGGGAACTGGCAGAGGAGCCAATGGAGGGAGGACACGGGCGAGGGGTGGCTGGTGGGGGGTGGCGGGGAGGGAGTACATGGGCAAGCAGTGGCTGGTGGGGGGTGGTGGGGAGGGCTGGGATCGGAGATAGGAAAGCCCCTATAAATGGCTAAGGAGGAAGTTTTGGTAGCTCTTACTCAATCATTTTAGTGTGTTTTTAGTGAAGTTACCATTCGGGTCACCCAGAGAGTGTGGAAAGTTTGAGGCTGATGTGGAGGGCACGCGTGGAAGTGGACAGCACCAGCTTGACCTCAACACCGTGCTTTTAGTGGATGCATACTTTTCTGTCCAGCTGCCTGGGGGAGGGAGCTGAGGTTAGATTCACACACAGTTTACTAAGCCCCGAACGAACACACAAGTGCAAGGGCCGGGGCGGGGGAGGGGAAAATCCTCCTGCCCAGAAAGTCCAGTCCCCAGGCACTGTATGGCAGTCCCCATACTCCGCTCCTCTGGTGGTGCTGGGTCTGCCTCTGGGCCAACTGCCTGGATTGCAGAGGGACTTGGATGCCCCTCGAGATCAGACCACTTGTGGTCTAATGCTTTTCCTCCAGCCTGGTCTTTGCCACCCACCAGTCCTTCTCAGTCCCCCTGCACCGCTGGGTTTGAGGAATGTGGGGTACACCGGGGGACTGGAGGCCGACTGCTTTGCATTGACAGTGAATGGGTGCGGTAAAGCTGGCCCCAAAGGAGGCGGACCAAGAGTCCCTCCAGACCCGGCCCCAGACAGATGAAGACCTCACGTACCCCTTTCTGAGGTCTCTTTCAATAAAGGCCTTCCCCTTAGGCTTTGAGGGGTTTCAGAGCATTTGGAGGGGACTCCCTTCCTCCCTGGCTACTTAGTTACAGATTCTCCAAGTGAGTGCAATACTGCTGTCCTTCATGTTCCTCACCATCCATGATTTTATGTATTTCCTATTCCTAGTGGTTTGGAGTAAGAGGTAGACTAGATGGAGAGAGAGGAGTTTCAACCCTAAATGCCTCTGCTTGCTTACTCCATTCAATGTTTTAGCCATGTTGCAAACATCCACAATGCAGCTCTTGATTTCTTCCCCCGCCCCAACTAGTACCTCCCTGCGCCCTTCTTTTTTTTTTTTTTTAAGATTTTATTTATTTATTTGGCAGAGAGAGACACAGCGAGAGCGGGAACACAAGCAGGGGGAGTGGGAGAGGGAGAAGCAGGCCTCCCGCCGGGCAGGGAGCCTGATGCAGGGCTTGATCCCAGGACCCTGGGATCATGACCTGAGCCGAAGGCAGACGCCCAACTGACTGAGCCACCCAGGCGCCCCTCCAGAAAGATTTTTTTTTTTTTAAGATTATTTATTTAATTTATTTGGCAGAGAGAGACACAGCGAGAGAGGGAACACAAGCAGGGGGAGTGGGAGAGGGAGAAGCAGGCTCCCGGCCAAGCAAGGAGCCCGATGCGGGGCTCGATCCCACGACCCCGGGATCGTGATCTGAGCCGAAAGCAGACGCTAAACAGCTGAGCCACCCAGGCGCCCCCCTCCCCGCGCCCTTCTTTACATCAGTAAAGGCACCAACGTGCAAATCCTTTTGACCTGACCTCTCGTGAATCTTGAGTCCATCCATTTTTCTCCATTATCCTCCTCTTGGCCTGTGGCCTGTGGCCACGTCGTGCAGTTGCTCCATGCTTCTGCCGGCTCATCTCTCCTACTCCCCACGCGGAAGCACACTGCGTCTTAAAACGAAGGAAAGTTACGTCAGCCTCCTGCTTAAAACCCTCCGGGGGCTTCTTGCTGCCTCAGGACCTCAGTCTAACTTGCACCTCAGCAGAAGAGACATCTGGTCTACCTTCAACTGAAGCTCACGTTTTAAGGGCCTTCCTGAAGGCCCAAGAAGGAGCCAACACAATATCAGCACCTCAGTTTTGTTTTCCTTTCTTAAATGTCCAATTCAATGGTTCTGGATCTTTTTAAGTCATCACTTGCCTCATAATGTGTTTTCCTAATCTGGGCCCCCAGTAAAACAGGTAACGTTTTAATCTGTTACTTTACAACTACGTAACAGAGGGGCCCTGGCCTCCTAGCCTAGAGTAGTAGGGACCTTACTACCTGCCCTCTGTTCTACTGCCTCTGCTCAGCCAGTTCCCCATTTCCTCTTACCAAATTCAGTATCGGATTTTGTATCACTTTTTGGGCCGTAACCCCAAACAAAAACTCTAAAGGGCATTGAACAATAAATGTTAACGATTTTACCTAGGAGTGCAGAGGAGGACAGACCGTAGGGCGGCAACATAAGCCGCTTGGCACTGTTGTGGAGAAGCCAGGTTCTTTTGCCTCTGCCCTTTGCCCCCGCTGACTTCCCTGCAACAGGCTATTTGCAAAAGTTTTGGGCAGGGCATCCAGATGCAGCAGTGGCAGTGAGAAGCCTGTCTTCTGTGGCTCTTAGGAGCCAGGACACCTTTCCCAGAAGCGTCCCAAGCCGACGTCATACTTCCATGGTCACAACTGGGTCACCTGCCCAGTCCTAAACCAATCACTGGCAAGGGCCTGGCTTCAAATAATCAGGATTTCCTTTCCTGGAGCTTGTGGCTGTCCACTTCCTCTGATGTGCATGGCTGCGTAGAAGAGAAGAAATACCTAAATGTTGGGACTTGCTTGGGAAGGAAGGGGAGGGGTAGGTAGCTACCAGTAGCTGATTCTCCAGTATATAAACAGATCTCATTTTGTACTTTGTACTTTTGGCCCTCTACCCAGAGGATTGAAGAAACAGCCCTGGGTAGGTAACCATCTCAGTTCGTGGTGATGGTTATCTACCAGAAAGGGGCCGTTGGGTAGAGCCTGGGATGCAGCGGGGAAGACCCTATATCCAGGCCCTGCGAGACCTTTGCTCTTGAAGTCTCCTTTATTGCAGTTTGTTTGACATGTGGTTACTGAGCGATCGTGCTGGAACCCCAGCTCACAGCCTGCCATCTGCCTTACTCTCTCTTGTCTGTGTCCCTGCCTCTGTCCTTGCCCCTTGTAGAACCCTCCCTGCCTTTCTGTTTACTTCGATCTTGCCCATCCTTCATCGTAAGTCCCGTCACTTTGAAACAGACTCCCCAAACATCTAGGCCTTTTAGTGATTTCTTCCTTTCCCAGACGTCTGCAGCATTATTGTGTTCATGACCCCTGTGGCATTTGTATTGACTAAACTTGCGGTATGAGCTCTTTGTTTTGCTTTGTTTCGATGGGTCTTTTTCTGGCCAGGCTGTAAGCCTCAAGGATAAGTCCCAGGTCTTCAGTTTCAGCATCTCTAGTGTCTAGAGAGAGAGAGAGAGGAGAGCCACATGCCAGGCACAAAGTACTTTCGAGTATCCCTTTTGCTCTTCACCTTGGTGAGAAGGACCATACATGTGTTACCTCCTCTTTAAAGACGGAACCTAAGGGATTCTTCCAAGCTGACAAGACCAGCAAGGTAGAAAGAAAGCTTGGGCCCCAGGTCTTCTAAGTCCTGTGTTCCTTCCACTGCACAAAGGTAGTAAGAAGCAAATGCCACATTTATAGGGTGCACAATGAATGTCACGGGAGCCCAGAGGCAGGGGATTTTGTATGTTTGAGTAGTTAATGAAGGCTCCCCCGAGAAGGTAGAAAATCGAGCTACCTCTTGAAGGGTAGATTGGATGTGGAGAGGATAGCACAGGACTGACAAATGAGTTGATGGTGAGTGATGTGCCTGACCTGTGAGAAGACAGTAGGGCAGTTCCTGGGAGGCAAAGGGAAGTGCAGTGAAGGAGGTGGCACAGAGCAAAGTTCTGGATGGCCTTTGTGGGAGCTGTCCGAGTCTCTTCCCTTGCAGACCAGGAGTCGGGAGGTGGGTCACTAGGAGAACAGGCTTCCTCTTGCAAGATTACTCCTCAGCCCAGGAAGTAGTATTACCTTGAAGTGAGGAGCAGCGTGACCAGACAAAACTGGGGGCTGCTTCTGAGGACAAGGCGGGGTAAATGGGGGAGTAGGGATCCTTGTGAGCCCTGCACATTTCCCCCTGGATCTTCATTCTGATATTATCCAATGAGGGCCCTGCCTCTCAGCTAAGAAACCTGGTGGGCCTGTAAACTCAGCTAATGGTACTCAACGGCAGGAGGACTCAGACTCTTAATTTGGGTTTCCAGCCCTCTTGGTTTTGCTTTCTGAAGGATGAGATTCAGCCTGGTTATAGAAGTCTCTAGGTTTCCATCTGTGGCTTGAATTGAGACCTTAAGGATTTGAGATTCTTACTCTCTTTTCTGAGTTATTCACTGCCATTAATAGTAGCCACCCATCTATGGCCTTGACTTTCTTTACCCATGATATTTTAGGATGGCAGCGATGCAGTCTCCCAGAGCTGGGCCTTCACAGTGGGCATGCCATTCCAGATAACTTTTGGGGAACTAATTCACAGCATGCCATGGGCTGCTGGGTCCCCATCTCAGAATATTAGCAGGACTGTCACTACTTTCTACCCTCTCTCAAAGGCAGATAACCATCATAGATAGTCCCCATTTCTCTACTTCTCTCACTTGCAATATGCTCTCCTAGCACCATATTCCCTACCAGTTAGGAACTTTTCAGTGACAAGTAATGAAAACTGGGTCTGTTCTAAGGAAAAAGAAAATGTCTTGAAAGAATGTTGGGGGCTCATAGAATCATGGGAAGCTAGACGATTCAGTTTGGGAAACGGAGAGGAACCAAAGCCCAAATCTGCAGAGCCAAGAAACAGTATCACAACCGTTTGATGGTTTAGAAGCATTGCAGGGTGTCGCTGTATCAATTCTGTTGTGTTTTTTCATTCCATATTCACAGCACAGCTTCTGAGTGCTAACTAGTTGTGGTATCTGATGAGCCCGGGTCAGGGCCCCACACGCTGGTGGGAGCAGGAGAGGGGATATCTGCCTCTCTAAGTTAGTGGGCAGGAAGGCACTCCCAACACAATATTGGGTCCCCAAAATGGGAGGGGTACTACATCCTGGAGAGCTAAAAATAGCAAAAGTGGGATGGGTGGATTTATAGACAGGCTCTTAGGGGCGAAAAGAGTGAGCCAGAATTCCACATAAATGTGGTGTTGTGTATTTATAAATTCTGGGAAAGAGCCACACATTGAATTTCTGATACACCTCAGGCAGCGTGAGGTATTGGGGCTACTATTGTTTGAATCTAGCTGGTCTGGCCTTCAAGGAGCATAGACTTGTGGGAAAACAAACAAGATTCTCCGTTACATACTTGATATTCTGAGGCTCCTAGTAAAAGGTCCTTCCTTGGTGAAGAAAATGGATTGGACAGTTAGAAACATGGAGAGACCCTTAAATGTGTCTCTTTGGTCCCTATTCCCTTCCTACTGTCTAGAGGAAGGTTTAAAAAGAAGAAAATAAGAGTCTTATTTATCGATCAAGGAAAAAAGCAAGACAAAAAAGATGAAGATCAATCAGTTTTCTTAATGGCAAATGTTGTGGATGACAGGAAATGAAAGAGGAGAAAACAATGTGAATTATGTATATTTGCAGCCAGCTGACAGATGTGGGCTAAAGGCTTACCAGTTGAAGAACTTTCAAATCCTTTTCCACTAAAAAAAATTAAGATGGTCTCTTCTCAGTCCCCCGCAGGTACCTTTGGATCATTTTGTTCATTCATGTGTCGGGGATTTATTGGCATTTATTGAATGCCAGAGATTGAAAGACAAATTCCATTTCTCTGATGGCCCCGGGAAGTATTGTGGTAGAGAGTCTCCAAAGATAGTTTCCATTGATTCCTTTTGTTGTTACCCCTCCCCTTGAATCTGGCTGCCTGGTGACTTGCTCTGACCAATAAAATGCACAGACATGACGTGTGGCGGTCCCTACCCTAGCCTTTAAGGGGCCTGGCAGTTTCTTCTGACTTCCCCAAAGCTGCCATGCTGCCAGGAAGCCCAGGCCAGCTCGGAGGCATGCTAAGGCCCCGGATGAGCCCGTGAAGCCTTCTTAGACCTTCCAGCTCAGCCCAGCCATGCTGAATGCAGCTGAGTGAGTGTGCCTAGTTGCTGCCGCATAAAGCACAGCTGCCCGGCTGAGCCCAGTTGGCCCCCAGAGATCATAAACAGTGGTAGTTTCAAGCTGCTGTTTCCATGGTGGGTTTTGCAGCAACAGATAACTAGAGCAAGTAGCATCTTACCAGCTCAATCGGCAGGACACTTCCCAGGGTGAAGGAATCAGAGGCTTTCTGGTAGGGTAGGGGAAGGTGGTGATTCCGGAGGACTCTGGCATGCAGCCTCCTGATAGGGGGAGGCGGGAGGGACTAGGAAGGGGCCGTGATGCAGCAGAAGAGGTGCACCTCACACCCCTACGTACTACTCACTTGCTGGTAGAACTCACACCCGCCCTTCCACTGTAGCTTATCATTGCTCTCTGCGCACTCCTCCTCACTTCCAGGTCCCACGTGTCCTCCCCAACCAAACCCTCTGGGCATCAGCAAGTACTATTTTCATGTAAAATGGGGACAGAACGCGAGGCAGTGCTTGGAATTGTCAAGGCAGGATGGGGAGACCAGATGCAGAAAGACAAGTAGCTGAGTGCCCCCAAACATCACCTCCTTTAGAGCCGTGCCTGAGAACAGGCTACCATATGTCAGAGAAATTTGCTGTATTTTGGTTAAGAATCTTTTATTTTACTTGTGCAGACTCTCTTAATCACCTTCAGGGCACTTCAGCAGTCCCTGAAAATTCAAAGATGAAAATAGTTCCTAATTTCAAGATGTTCATCACTGCTCAGTGGGTAAATTCTGGGGCTGTGATATGTCTTGGCATCATAGAGGTTTACTTAGACATGTCCCTAGGACTGCACCACCTACTAAGAGAATTCATTTTACCCCTTTGCTTCTTTAAAACAAACACTTGATTTATTTTTCCACCCCCACCCCACCTGCCTGGGTCCTTCCAGACTTCAACTCCACCCCACCATGCTTGCTCGATCTACTTTGTTAGATCTAATTTTTGTCGTGTCCAGCTTGAACTTGGTTGGTGCCTGATAGATCACAGACTTATTCTGTGATGGACCAGAGCCAGGTGATTCTACAGCTCCGAAATGGGCCCCCCGGAGGTTGTCATATTAGTTTTCCAAAGATGGTGGTAAAATGGAACCACAAAGCTGTGAAGTAGCCCTTTGACTTAACTCTTTTACACCCAGTAGAAACCTTTCAAAATTCTGGTTCTACTGAACGGCTGTCAATTTTTTTTATGCCGAGTTGTGTCTTCTGTCAAATTAGTTTTTGAAATCACAAGGGTCAAACTCTTAAAACTTATAAAGAACAAAATGGATCCAGTTAATGGTAAACTCTAGAAACGGAGGGGCAAACAGCTGAAGCGAGAAGCAAAACATTTAGATAATCAGGCAGACTCAGGATAATCAAGTGAGTAAGCCCAGCAAATACAATGGCTCCGCTCATGTGTTAGCGATGAGTTTCCTCTCATTGGGAAAGAGAATTTGCAGGGAGTGAAAACAGCATGGCTCTAAAATCCCAACACCAGCCACTGGAAAGTCCTACCCTTCCTTCGCTTTTGATGAAACCATCTAATTTGATGACGCGAGGAAGTTAGCAAGGAATGGCCCTTGGCGAGCTGCTGGTGACATGTAGATGGTGGCTGAGTCTGTGTCCCACTTTCCAAATGCTTGTGATGGCGGCCTGACTACCCCTGGCTGTGCGAGAGGCCATCAACGGCTGAGTTCTAGTTGGGGCTGCTCCTCTCCTACCCTATCGCCCTCCGTAAACATTGCCCAGCCCAAGCCGGCATTAATTGAGCCATGTGACCTTGGGCAAGTCAACTTCTATAGACCTCAGTTTTCTCCTCTATAAAATGAGGAGGTGGATGAGGCCCCCGATTTTAGAAATAAATGTTATTAAAAAAAAAAAAAAGAGCGAGCAGTGCAGGGAAAGAGACAGCGGGTATGCCAGGCACACCTGGGCCATAACCTGCCACTTACTGCTTCACTCATGGAAATCTTGTTAGAGAGTCCAAAACTGTGATCTGATCTAGCTTTAGGCAAGGTCTTTTTTTTTTTTTTCTCCTTTTAGAAAGAAAAGCCAAGCTCAACTGTTTGGGACTCTGCATTCCCGCTCTTTCTCCTCTTTTTTATTTATGGCACATTTCTTCTCAGTGATTCTTTCAGTGCATTTTTTTTTTATATTGAAAATAGACATTTTGTTTATACAAGGCACAATTTCAAAATAACAGTTATATAAAATATGTAGATATAATAGGGAGTATAAATAGAAATGCATATACATGGAAAATGTCACTGAGTTCAGTTTCCTTCTTTGTGAATCCTTAAGTGGATTGATGGGGCACGATACCTCTGCTCCCTTTCAGTGCCTGCAGAGCACCTCAGTAGAGGGACAGCGTTTAGAGCTGCAACACTGTTGTCATCCTTGTAGACATCTCTTAAGCCAGCAGGAGACTCAGAATTATCTTAGAGTCTCAGGTGTATTTCTTTTCTCTGTAAACTGCAAGTCAGGATGAGGGGTGGAATAGTCAAGCTGCTAAGCCATCCCAAATAAATGTCACAATGAAATAAAAGGAAAGCCGAGGCCTTCAGCCACTCCCAGGAAAGCTTCAACTGCTGGGATCTGGGGAAGGCAGCCCTACACCTGAGGCCGGGCAGGGCAGGACGGGTCCCAAGCATCCATCCTGAGACTGCAGAGCCTAGGAGGTGTCTTGGCTGGGTGCTGTTGATAAAATGATGCCAAGACGTTTGTTTTATCACCCTGATGGGCTGTTTCCTGGTGCCCAGCTCCTTGAGTCGTTTCCAGGTCCTCTTCGGCTAGGGCAGGGTTGGCGCCTTCGCTCAAGTCTCTGCTGCCCTCAGTCTCCCCCTGAGTGTCCCAGGTCGTGTGGGTAGTTTTCTGCATCCTCCTCTCTGCTGCTGGTTCCCCTAGTCATTGGCATCTCTTCCATGCTTTCCATTTCAACACTGGGTGTCTGCGAAGTTTGCCTGTAAAGCAGATCAGTCAGAGGTTTTGAAAAGAGGAGCGGGTCGCCCTCAGCTTGAGTGAACAGATAGTTCCTGTTGAACACTCAGATGGGGAAAACCTAGCTTACCTCCAGTCACGGCTGGTATTGAAATCTTACTTTGGTATTTTAAGCTGCTCGTCCACCAAAGATTGATCAGTGCTGCTGGAGCAGCTTACCCCCTCTTTTCCAATTCTCTGCTAAAAAGCAGTAGTTCAGATGGCAGGCACAAGAAGGAGAGAGTAACTAGGAGCCTGGCAAAGCCAGACATGATCATCTTGATAAAAGTGATGTAATATTCAGAAAGCTTTTAAAACAGTTTTTGGTACTTGGTATGTGTTTAAAGAAACAAATATATTAATCAGTTCCTGAGTAACCAAGAGTGGGGGAGGCAGAACATCTTATTCCACATGTTTCCCAGTCACTGAAGGACCTGTGTTTTTTGGTCCTGAGTATCTGGGCCAGCAATTTTTTCATGGATTATGTCATCTACCTCTTGAGGATAGGCAACTCTTTAGGACATTTCAAAGTAAACACTTTGAATCCAAAGAAAGCAAAAACACCAATTTGAAGAGATAGCTGCACCCCGTGTTCACTGCAGTATTATTTACACCAGCCAAGATATGGAAGCAACCTAAGTGTTCATTGATAGATGAATGAATAAAGAAGATGTGTGTGTATACACACACACACACACTAGAATATTACTCAGCCATAAAAAATAATGAGATCTTGCCATTTGCAACAACATGCATGGACCTAGAGGCTATAGTGCTAAGTGAAATAAGTCAGAGAAAGACAAACACCATATGATCTCACTCATTTGTGGGATCTAAAAAACAAAAATGAACAAACAAAACCAACAAACTTGTGGACACAGAGAACAAACTGGTGATTGCTAGAGGGGAGGGGCTGGGGCAGGTGAAATAGGGGATTCAGAGGTACAAACTTCCAGTTACAAAATAAGTCACGGGGATATAATGTACAGCACAGGGAATATGGTCAATCATAGTGTAATAACTTTGTATGGCATCAGGTAGTAACTAGCCTTGTCATGGGGGTCATTTCATAATGCATAAAAATGCTGAATCAGTATGCTGCACCCCTGAAACTAATAGGATATTGTATGTCAGCCACACTTCAATTATCAAGTAGCACTTTGAGCTCCTTGGAGTGAGAGCTAAACTATAAATCAGGACTCTAGGCCAATGTACTGAAAATAATTTGCTGAAAGCCAGTTTGTTGAATGACCAATCTACCTAATAACCCATCTGTAAAAAATAAGTTTACAGCAAAGAATTGATTCACCAAATGACCAAGTAGTTATGCTTTTCAGGTTTATCCGTTCTTACAGGTATATTTATCAATATTTCTCTACTATAGTCAGTGAATATTGATATTTTCATCTTATCAGCATATTTATTGGCCATATATACCAAATTTACAAATTCTTGTAAGATCCTATTTTTAATGTCTTAAAAAATTGTGCACATTTTTTAAGTTAATGATAGTTAGTCATTATACTTTTTTAAGAATGTAACTCCAAATACAACATGTCATGTGGAAATTTAGTTATAACAACACTTTGAAAGTCCTTTTAAAAGTCATTTTTTATTTTGCCAACATTTTAGCATTTTGGGGATTGTTTTGACAGATTTTCGAGTCACACATCAACCTTAATGTGCTCTTTCTAAATGATCTATGAGGTTTATGGCATTTCTTTTGGTTGGGATGGTATTAACAGCTTTCAAAGATGGATGTGAATTTTTAGATGACTTTTTCATTTCGGCTTCACAGTAGCATTTCATGGAACATTCATTTTGCCAAAGTGAGGCTCGAAGGATGGTATCATCCTTATACTGATATATTTAGAAAAGAATTCTTTATGATTAGCAGCCAAAAGTTTTGTTTCAACAAATCTGATTTCTCCTGTTCATTGTATGTTGCTGAGGAAGGATCCAGAACAGCCATATCAACATGGAATGCTGGTTACTAGGTTCTAATTGATACAAGTATGAAATTAAGGTGAATATGCCATTTGAGGCTTTAATGAAAATTATAAAAAGGCCTCAAGTTTAGAAAAATAAATAAAAACTGAAATTTTGGCAAGTGGCAGAAACAGTCTTCTCGTCACCCAATGCTGAAATAAGAATTTCAATGATTAGAAATACAAAAGTCAGGCCTACATGAATGAGCACATAAATAAGAAAATATCCCTATATTTAATGAGAACATTCAAGAAAATATATTCATGACTGTATCACAGCAATTGCCATATCCATCAAATTGGTTATTGGGTAGGTTCTTTGCTTCTGAAAAGGAAAGAAAACTTCGTTCATTCTTTTCTTTCCTTGTGGTAGAGCGGCCCCTTGTCACCAGTTAGGTTCTGGCTGCCGTGTCTCCTACTGGTGGCCTGTGGGGGGCCTCCCAGGGCCAGCTCTCCATTGGCCGGTACAGGAGTGAGCGGGTGTGAGAGCCCACCTCAGTAGCCAGGAAAGGGGGTCTTGCTTTGAGGGGGCAGCAGAAACATAATGATGCAGCTCTTTTCTGGGAGGGAAGGAAGAATCCCGTCCTCTGTGATTCCCTCGCGCTTCTCACCTGGATTTTCGGTAACAGACCAGAAGAAGCACCGCACATACTACCCCGAGCACAGCGACAGGTGTGAAGATCGCCACTGCAAGAGAACAGAACAGAGCTGTCCTGCGGAGAGTCCTGGCAGCAGGTTCATGTCTAAGAATCTGAAAACTCTTTACAATTGACAATCCTGCAGAGAGATCCAAATGCCTTCCCAGCCCCAGCTAACTGTTACTGACATTTCTGGAGGTCCACACAGCCCAATCTGCTCTACTTCTGGGCAGAAAGTGCATTCTTTTCCCACCAATACCACCAGTTCAAACCATCCCCTTTCACGTCGTCCCACATCCCCAGCTCCTAATCCATCCTTCCTGGTCAGGGTGACATGGTGATGGGACGAGAGGAGAAAGTAAAGGCCTCAGAGTTCACAAGATGGCAAGGCTGGTCTGCTGCTCAATCCAAAGTCAGAAAATAGTTGTCCTTGGGACCACCTCCCCCTTTTCTTCAACTTCACAGAATCCCCATTTAGAAACAATAGCAGGCAGTGCCATGCTTCTTCCAATTTCATCTTTTTTTTTTTTTTTTTTAAATAGGCTCCACGCTGGGCATGGATCCCAATGCGGGGCTTGAACTCACGACCCTGAGATCAAGACCTGAGCTGAGATCGAGTTGGATGCTTAACTGACTGAGCCACCCAGGCACCCCCATCATTATTGTGTTTTTACTAGCAGCTTTTTATGGTGGAGGAAGAGTGGTAAGGAGAGAAAGGAGGTGTTGTAAAAGGTGTTACGGATAAGAGGAGAGTAAGGCCATGGCTTAGGAGAAGGGAAAGATCCTGTTTGGGCTGAGTTGAAAGGAACAGCCTGGAGTGGTGGGGGCACTTGGAGGTAGGAGGCCAGCAGCTGTAGGGCATTTAAGATTTATTAGACAGGATAGGAAGAGTGGGATCTCCATGTGGAAGCCAGAGGGCTTAGCCCAAGGGCATGGTGAACCTAACTATTTTAAAAACACTTGCATCAATAATAAGCTCCAGGCAGAGTTGGTCAGTTTGCCTCCACGTTGTGAAATCTCCCTGCAAAAATCACCCACCTACCCTACATGAAGGATGACAACCCTGAACATCTGGGGGGGCCAGTGGTCTGACTGTGGACCACGAGTCACATCTCCTAGACTGGCTGTTTGGACCTGGGCCTATACAACCAGCACACGACCTCGTGTACGGGATACATCTCCTATCTTTGCCTTCAAAATACAACTCTATCGAAAAACAGAGAAATACAAGGATGTGGGAAAACACTCAGATTCTCCGCCGGGTACGGAGTACAGTTTTTCTCAAGAGCATTCGGCAACATGGAACAACAGCTTTAGAGAAGACCACACTGTTGACTCTCTAGTCCCACTTCTAGGAATTTATTCCAAGGAAATGGGCAAATACATCCAGGAGTATTCACTGAAGTATTATTTAAAACAATTTTTAAAATGTTAATCTCAATCTCTTAGTAATGGAAAATTAATTAAGCTGTGGTATACCCATACATTGGACTATCATCCAACTTTTAAAAATTATGAAATGAATCTGTATTAACACAGAAAGATGCCTCCAATTACTTAGGTGAAAAAAAACTGGCTGAGATCAAAATGAACCAAAAAATAATCTCCAGTAAGCCATGCGTGTGTCCATAGGCCCAGGACAGCCTTGAAGAATAGATACCAAGGTACTAAGTAATGGTGGGCTTGTAGATAATCTTTATTTTCTTTTTTAAAAAGTTTGCTTTTTCCCTGATATTTTTGAAATGGTACTGTCATCAGAAGAAACAGTAAAGTTGTCAAAACAAAACTACCTGTGCCTAAGTAAATACAAACGAGAATAGAAAAGTCCCAAAGGAAATAACAAGGAAGCATGTCAAATTAGTGAAAAATGTTTTGAATTTTCAGACTTAACATTAATCATTATGACTAAAAACCAGAAATACTTCCTAAGAGATGGTGTGCCCTAGGGTAAACTATTTCTTCCATTGACTAATCAGTTTGTCATGCATTTACTGTCTGCAGAGGGATTTACTGGAAAAGGCCGGTTGATGTCAGCTATAATTTTGCTTTCATAATGCCTCTTCCTTTTTCTTCTGAATGAGAATCACGCCTGCAGACTCCCAATTCCAGAGAGAGAAGAGGCCCCTGAGCCAATGATGTGACAGAGCACTTTGAATCCAGGGACAAACTCATACCCTTGGCCTCATCCTCCATTATATCCAGGCAAACTGGGTAAAAAAAATTGAAACCAAAATCACAAAGATGCTAGGTAAACAAATCAACTGGCAAGTTCCCCCACCGTTTTGTGTTTCCTAGGGTATGCATGGGTTGTAGAAAAAGGAAGAGAGAGAGGTTTGGTGAGCCAGAGGAGAACAGAGGAGGATTTGAGTCAGGGGCGGGGGTAGGGGGTGGGGATGGATTATTGCTCAGGAGGCCGAGAAAGGCCAGTAGCTCCCTGGCTTGACTTCAACCCGCAGTGCGTGTTGGGTCTAAAGCGAAGAAGGTGGCCGAGGCAACCAGTGGCCATTGTTCAATGTGGATGATGAAAAGGTCCTCTGAGAACAGGGTGGGGGAAGGCACCATTCCTTAGCAGTACCTGCAAACTAGATCAGCCAGGAAGTGCTGTCTCTGAGTGCTGGTGTGCCTGCATCTGATGAAGGCCATTTTGAAGTAAGACTATCATTATTCCTGGGCAGTGTTTCTCTTCTGTCTCTTACTGCACTAAGCACACAGCAAGTGTTGGGCTCAGAGTAGGTACTCAATAAATACCTAACTGATTGAATGAAACCATTCACAGTCCATAAGTTAAAGGACATTTGATGTGCCATTTGCTTCTCAATGAGAAATCTGCATTTCATTGCAACTGAGGACCAACCCGGCACAGAGTTAGAACTCAATCTACATTGAATAAACAGAGGAATGATATAATATAGAGCTAGCTCCTATTAAAGGCTGAGCATATCAACTGCAGCAAATCGATTTCAGATATGAAAGATGAGAAGTATAACACAGTCTGAAGAATTAACTCTTCCCTCCTTGTGTCTTAAATGAACATGGCAATGTAAACACTGTCATAGGTGACATTCTGGCTTTTTACTTTACAATCAGGAGTCCTCAGGAATAGCCTAGTCAAAGATCAGATATGGGATATTGGAATAGCTGAATGAAATTATTGCTTAAAAGGACTGCCAAGGGGCGCCTGGGTGGCTCAGTTGGTTAAGCATCTGACTCTTAGTTTCAGTTCAGGTTGTGATCTCAGGGTCATGAGATTGAGCCCTGTATGGGGCTCTGCACTCAGCACAGAGTCTGCTTGGGATTCTCTCCCGTCTGTCCCTCCCCATGCTTGTGCTCTCTCTCTCTAAAATAAATAAATAAAATCTTAAAGGAAAAAAAGCCTGCCAAGTGAGCCTGTAGATACTTAAGACAATGAAATGAAGAATCGCACTTCCTAAACATTTATTAAAATGTTAAAGTCCTCAAATTAACATATTCATTTGCTCGCTCACTATTTATTGAGCATCTACTATTTACCATTTTCTTTTGAACTGAAAAAAGCAACTTTTATAAGTTGTGATAATTTATGTAACTTTAAAAATTGTGATATTGGTAGTTATCAATGGGCTGATGAAAATATTAAGTTAATTAACATTTGCTGAGTGATTATTATGGTAAAGCATCTATATTTGCTTACAAACATGGTCAACCGATTGCTTATTCATGCAGAAATGGCAACACCTACGGATGCCCAAGGAGCCAGCTGGTATCTCTGCCGTTTGTACCTGACAGGGGCAAACTTTTGGGTCTCAGGTAGCTAGGACTGTATATGACAGACTTGGCAGGCACCATCATTAAATGTTTTTAGAAAACTAGCATGATTTTAATTTCAGTTTACACCTTCTTAGCCAATAAAACTTAAATAACACCTAATGAAATAGAACTCATCTTTATTTTTTATTTCTTTGCTAACAATTACTTGATCTGTCTTGTAAGTTAGGTGCTAACATGTTTATCTTGAAGCCCCTGGAAGAAGGAAATCTTACTCACATAACAGGAAAGATTTAAAGTTTTTTGTTTTTGTTTTTTAATCTCTGTATTTCCGCAGTTTCTTGCACGGAGCTATTTTTGCCTATTGCAGGTGTTCAGTTAATGTGTATTACATTATACTTCAGAACTGGGGAGACTTTCTGATATTTTAATCTAGTGAAAATCATAAGCTGGAAAAATGTAAGATGATATCCCATAATAAAGTAGTTGTTTGAAAATCTACTTAGAAAACATGGACCCTCAAATTTTATATACAGGATTTTTTCCTACAGATATACTTGCCCACAGCAAAATGATAGGTTTTCCGATTAATCACTGTTTGTAACATAGTCAAAGAATGTAAACAGTCACATGTCCAAATAGGGGGTTGGCTACATAAATTCTGGCAAATCCATATGGTAGGATTTTTTGTAGCTGTTTTAAAGAACGAAGTGGTTTTAATGTATTGATATGGAAGGATTTCCAAGAGATACCATTAGGTGAAAATGAACAAGGTGCAAAACAGTGAAAATACAATACCTGTTTAGCATCATATATCCTCTGTGAGCTATTTACAGGGTGACTCTCTGAAAGGACACACAGAAATCTGGTAGCAGGAGTTGCTTTCTTCCTGCAAGGGGATTTTCAGTCTGAGATGGGGCTTTTTGCTCTATATCTTTTTGTAATTTGTAATTTTTAAACCCTGTGCAAATATTACCAATTCAAAAAAATGAATAAAAAATGTAAAACTTTGTAGAAAGGTTAATGTAATATGTGACATAGGAGAAAAATTAGGTTAGCTACTTTATTTACTGGTTGCCTCTTAAGTGATAAACATATTTTTGTTTCAGTGTCCTTGTCATTAGTCCCACAGTTTCTCCATGAAAATACTCTCCAGATGGGCTTTTTTTTTTATTGTCTTGCCTTTGCATATACATTTTGATCATTTTAAAAACCATTCTAATCAACTAGCTGCTGAAATGACTAAACCCACTTGGTTGGCCTTTTTTTTTTTAAGAGAGAGTACTTGCACATGAACCTGTGTGGGGGAGGATGCAGTGCAGAGGGAGAGGGAGAGAGGGGCTCCATCCCACAATCATGACCTGAGCTGAAGGAGTTGGATGCTTAACTGACTGAGCTACCCAGGCACCCCTCAATTTTTTTTTCTGGATGACACTTCTAAAAAAAAGATTTTATTTATTTATTTACTTATTTATTTGAGAGAGAGAGAGAAGAGAGTGGGAGTAGGGGGAGGATCAGAGGGAGAGGGAGAGAAGCAGACGCCCCGCTGAGCATGGAGCCAATGTAGGGTGATGCGGGGCAACGTGGGGCTCAATCTCATGCCCTGAGATCACGACCTGAGCTGAAAGAGTCTGATACTTAACCAACTGAGCCACCTGGGTGCCCCTAGATGACACCTGATGCAGATAAAATATAGCCACAAAAATGAGTCATTCTCCAGTAGAAAAACTTGTAAATGGAAAATAGAAATAATTTTTGTCTTACGAAGTTACGGTGTTTTTTTTTTTGTTTTTTGGGTTTTTTTTGCTTCTTGAAAACTTGTCAGACAAAAATCTTAGATTCTTTCTTATGATTGCAATTCTCTCTCCCTTCTCTCTTCTTCCTCTCTCCTCCCCTTCCTTCCTCTCTTTCTTTAATTCTTGCGAACACTTTTCCACTCCCATCCTCACATTCCCTGGGTCATTCACTTTCTCTCCTAGCTTTAAAGTTGTGTGCTTCTTCTGTAAAAAGAAGCCTCTTATATTGAGACATTTGAGCAGCCTTGCTGTGAAGGGCATCATGCTGAAACCCTGTGAAAGATGAATGCAGTTTATGACAGAATAACAGCATTGCAATGACAGTAGTACACATGTGTGGTGTTCTGGTAAGTCCTGTATGCAAGTCCAGCCCTGCTTAGGGGAAGGAGGCTCTTTTGTGATGCGTCAGCTCTCTGGTTCCCACATCAGTAGCCTGACAGGGAGGAGCTACCAATAGTGAGATAAGCAGTCATGTTAGAATCCCATAAGTAGGGTGATCCTATAACTTACTATCTAAACCAAGACACTCTTGAGCGGAGAAGGGGATGCTGCTGGTGGCCAGGCTGGGGCAGCACATAAACCAGGACTGTCCCACCCCCTGTGACTGAGGTCCTCTGGGCATAAACACTGCTAGGACAAGAGAAAAAAAAATACTTACCAGTCACAGCTCCAGAACTGTATGAATATGTACCTGCAGAGAAGAGATTGCAGCTGAGTTATTGCTGTTTCTCAGTTAAGGCACTAGTTTCTCATTAAGGAGGAGGAATTTTGGACAATTTGGTTTCCATCCTAAAGCCTTAAGAGATTGATGGCTGGCAAAACCAAATTCCCTTTAGCAGAGAATAAGGGTAATTTATTTAGATGCTGGGCCATGCTTAAGAATCAAATATGCCCTGTTTGCACAGCAAAGGAAAACATCAACAAAACAAACAGACAACCTACTAAATGGGAGAAGATATTTGCAAGTGACATATCTGATAAGGGTTAATATCCAAAGTGTGTAAGAACTTATACAACTCAACACACACACACAAGCAAATAGTCCAATTAAAAATGGGCAGAGGACCAGATAGACACTTTTTCAGAGAAGACACACAGATGGCCAACAGGCACACGAATGGATGCTCAACATCACTGATCATCAGGGAAAGGCAAATGTGAAGCCACAGTGACACATTATCTTACCCCTGTGAGAATGGCTAGAATCAAAAAGACAAGAAACATCAATTGTTATGGAGGATGTGGAGAAAACACTGTTGGTAGGAATGCAAGCTGGTGCAGCCACTGTGGAAGACAGTATGGAGGTTCCTCAAAAAAATTAAAAATGGAAAAAGCTATATGATTCAGTAATTCTGCCAGGTATTTACCCAAAGAAAACAAAAACACTAATTTGAAAAGATATATGCACTCCTATGTTTATTGCAGCATTATTTACAGTAGGCAAGATATGGAAGCAGTCCAAGTGTCCATCAGTAGATGAATGGATAACGATGTGGTATATATATACACAGTATTACTCAGCCATAAAAAAGAATGAAATCTTGCCATTCAATAACCATGGATGGACGTAGAGCGTATTATGCTAAGTGAAATAAGTCAGAGAAAGACAAATACCATATGATTTCACTTAGATGTGGAATCTAAAAAACAAAACCAATGAACAAACAGACAAAAGCAGAAACAGACCCATAAACACAGAGAACAAACTGATGACAGCCAGAGGGGAGGAGTGTGTGTGTGGTGGTGGTGGGGGGGGTGGGATGGGCAGAACGGGTGAAGGGGGAGCAGGAGGTCCAGGCTTCCAGTGATGGAATGAATAAGTCACGGGGATGAAAGGTACAGCACGGGGCGGGTGGAGAGCATAATCAATGGTATTGTAGTAGAGAAAAACACGCCACGAAGAATCAGCTATGCTTTTACGGAAGATACAGATTACCAAGAACTTTTCCATCCCACAGACTGTGACTCCAGATTGCAGAAGGCTTCCACTGTCCTCCCATATTGAGAGGAGGCAGATATTATTCAGACTGGCAAGCCTCTGCCATGCAGGTCTGTACGGTGAGCCTTGTCCCATCCAGGAGATGGACTTTCTTTTCCAGCTGGGCTGAAGCAGGGCAGAGCACAGAGGTTAGAGGGCAGAGCAGGGAGGCTGTGGCACAGAGCAGCGAGCGGGGGGTTACTGAGTTGTCTGGACTTCAGGTCAGATGGTATAATGCTGTGCAGTCGGCTCACTCGAGGTCTCCACCCGCTTCCCAGAAGCAGCCCACGGGTTGCTGACCTCTCCTAAAGTATGCAAAGCCAGTGCTAACCTGGTGTCTCCTGTGAGGCGGAGGGAGTGCGTTCCAAGGCCTTTGCCGTTGTCTGAGGTAGGGCTTGGGAGGGTTCCTGACTGATCGGCCCTGTGGTTCCTGTAGCAGGAGGCTTTGATGGCATCGGCCTGGAGCCTGGCACAATATCGGGCTTTGTGGCCACTGTGGTGTCTGATGTGGAAGTGAAAGCTGGTTCTGTAGGAAAGCGCAAGATATGGAGAACATGAATATTTAGACTCGTGTCTCTGCTCAGCTCCAGAAGAGAGTGGACTTGATGCTTGCTCTAGTGAAGCCCACCGCGGGCCAGCCCTCCCCCGGCACACTCCTCCATGGCTCTTTGGGAAAATCCCTTAGGTGGGTAACCTGTTCATCCATCTGGAATGGCCACGGGACTTTCGAGAATGCTAGAGGCTCTGCAGCTGTTTATCATGGGGCAAAGTTCGAGATGCCACGGATTTGGGTAGACTCGGATGCTATGGGAGGCTGTTCTCAAAAACCGAGTGCAACTGTATTTGCCAAAGACATCTGGGGTGCGGATTTTCATTTATTTTCTACGTGTTTGCACATGACTTCTGAAATGGGGGGGAAGCCTGAGGTTCAGCCTGACCGAATCCTAGAGAGCGTATTTGAAGGAAGGGTCCTGGTTTTGCGCTGATCGAGGGGAGGGCAGCCCGCCTTGTGTCCAGGCCCTCACTGTCCCTGTCGACCTGGCAAATGGCTGCCCCCAAACTGTGAAGCATGGTACAAGTGCCTCTGTGACCCCAGCACCGTTGGCTGTCTGGCCACGCCGTGTGGGGCTGCTGTCCCAGCCGCTTATGCTGTGAGACGTCCTCCTGCCCCTTCGTCCCCCATCAGTACCTCACACGTACCTCACACCATCCGGGCTGCCAGCACTCCGGGCGCTCTGCAGACAGAGCTCCCCCAAAGCATTTCCATCCAAGTGCCCATGGCCACGTCACCCCGTGTCGGAGATTACACTCCCACGCCTTTCACCTGACCAAGTGTTCCATGCACGAAGGCAAGGCTGGCAGAGACCAGCCTTGATTATTCTCATCAGTTGGTGCACCAGATGTGACTTGGGTCAAAGGGGTTTTGGAATTACTCCAAACTTAAATGTAGTCAGCGCTCAACCATATCCTCCTGTTTGTAGTCAACAAACTACCTAACTAACTAGGAGGAAGCCTCCCTCTGGCCTCGCCATCCCCCCTTCGGCATTGCTACTCAGCTTTGGCTCCCTAAGAACCACCTGGGGAGATTCTAGAACCCTAATTCCCAGGCTGCTCCCCAGACCGCCAGAGTTCCGGGGAGGTCCCCACATGTGTCCACGGTTAGGAAGCCGTGCTCAAGGGGAGGCGAGCCCGAGCAGTGCAGCCAACCGCAGCAGGCTGACTGTGCCGGGCACGAAGGGGGAGACGGGGGTGGGGAAGCACCACACTGGATAACGGGACACAAAAAAATCAGGCGTTAAGTCTAAAGTAAGGCTTCCCTAGGATGTAGGGCACATTGTCCCAAGACATTAGCATTTATGGTTTCAAATTTTCTTAACATCAGGACGGTGCTGAGGAAATTGGGATAGAAGATTAGCTAAGACCCTGGAAATGCGTAACGTTGGCAGCTTTGTGCAGTGCTTCTGTACCCAGCAGCCCCCCGTTGGGGGAACAGTTCTGCATGGGTCCCTCATGTTTCTGCACGTCTTCTCGGCAGAGGCACCGGCAGCCCTCTCTTGGGACTATCTTTCCAAAGATGTTCCTATAGCCTTGGAAGGTACAGACAGCGCCTCACCCTGGAGCAAAGGACAGACATGGTCAGCCGGTTATAAAAGACTCCAGTTTCTTGAACTCAGTATATGTGCTGCCGAAGCGAGCACCAGTTTCTTGAACTCAGGCTTCCTCTGCTATGAAGCAGCCTGCTGGATGTGCAGGCATCTTGGAGGCCCCTCCCCATTGCCCCTGTGGGATACAGAGATGAGGAAATTGAGGCAAACATGCCGAGGGTCCTGCTGCCTGCTGTGCCATGGAAGGAAGAACGTCCTTGGTCTCTGGAGCAGGAACGTCCTGTTTTCCGCCAGCACCCATGACGTGTTGGCGGGCTAACATGTAAGGCAGGCAAAACCGCAGATCCTCCCCAGTTTTGATGAGGAAGCACGTCTACAGCTAAGTCTGATCTGGCATTGTAAGAGTGGGTTTTGAACCATCATTAATTATGTGCAGCCGAAACCTAGCTATCAAGGTTTTAAAAGAGAAAATGATTTAAAAGAGAAAATGAAGCTAATATAATGTTGATGTTAATAAAAAGTGTGTCCTGTTGTTTAAGTTGGCCGTGGAACTCCAGCGGTTGGTCCAAGAATCTGAGGGGCTCACGGGGACCTGCGTGGTCGCAGGGAATGGGAGTCCTTAAAAAGTTTCCAACATCCCTACCTTTTCCAGAAAGGGAGGTGCTCTGTGGCTCTGGGGTCACCCCTGCTGGCACTTCTGTGGAGGATGGCCTTAGGTGAGTCAGGGAGGGGTCTCCTAGAGAGAGGATAACCACATGGCATTCATGAGCCTGAGGGTGGAACCTGGAGTGCTTCACAACCACATAGAAATAAAAAAAAACCAACATATAAATTTAAAATAGAGATATCTGGCTTCCCGGGATAGGTCAGAAGCCCGAGAAATATGCAACAATGTTTCCCAATCTGCAATTCCCAGGCAAATGCAAACAGAGGGCAAACTCTTTTTCTAGCCTTTCAAAAAGACTGCACACATATCAAATGTCTTGTTATTTTCAGTTAGAATGGTATCAATGAGATCAACTCAGTTTTATAATACTGTCTTTTACATGGGAAAATAAATGATTATCAGTAGATTCAGTTGTTTTGTAAGGAAAAAAAAAAAGCATTCCAAGCACAGGAGGTTAGGAAAAGTAATGGAGTTGTTAGTGGTAAAAGGTGAGGATTCTTTGGGCTACATGAAACCTAAAGATCCTCCAGTCTTTAGGTTCTAAAAGTCTATGATCCCAGGTCTCTCCCCCTTGCTTTCTCTACCCCCACCCCCCACCAACCAGTTCAGAGCCTACAACTCTTCCCCATCTTAGATTCATTCACCCAAAGGAATTGGCACTTTGAAGAAACAGTCACTTTGCCTGTGTTGGAAAGCCCTTATTTTTGCCCCTGGATTACACGTACCAGCAGGTGCCCACACTGGACAGAATAAGATGTCTACTCTGTGTCTTTGCCATAGTGTTATTGCTCATACCTTTCGTCACCCAGCTAGCTCAGCACTTCAGTCGCACTTGATGCCATCTGGCACTATGTCCCCCAGCTGAGCGATTCCTTTGCAATAAATAGAAGGCTTCTTCCTCGCCCTGCCTCTGATGTCTGCATGATGTCATGCAGGGGGAGGGGGCAGGTGCACAAAATCAATGAGAAGGTCTGGCTCTTCAAGGAATCCTACAGCAGAGTGAGTTTGCTCTAGAACAACCCCTTTTGTCCACTTCCCCAGGGAGGAGTTGAGAATTTTCACATATATGAGAAAGTCTCTAGCTTGCAGTTGGACATGTACCAAATATGCAATAAACCATGAGTTAATCTTTATTTTTCTAGAGTAAGGACCTTAGTATTCCTGGAAATAGCACTATTGACTTCCACTCCAAGATTGTTGGCTTCTGACATAGTTATCCAGTTGTGGATGGTTCATAAAAAAATAGATTCTGACAACCATCCCTCACATGGGCTCTGGAGTGCTGGCTGGACACCAGACATGGGTGACCAAGCTAAGGGAGTCTCTGCTCCTTGGGTAGCCCCCATTCTTCTGGGTGGGTAACAACAAAGAACCCTAATAATTTCCCTACAGGTTATCTTCTAGGGAGAAATTGGGAAGCTCTCTGGGAAGCAAGCATGCCAAATTCTTGCTACCATCATCTTAAAGGCATATGTCAGAGATATTGTGGGTTCTGTTCCAGACCATCACAATAAAGTAAATGTGGCAATAAAGCAAGTCAAATGAATCTTTTGTTTCTCAGTGCATAGAAAAGTTATGTTTGCACTATACTATAGTCTATGAAGTGGGCAATAGCATAGTGTCTAAAAAAAAATCAATACATATACCTTAATTTAAAAATACTGCTAAAAAATGCTAACCATCATTTGAGCTTTCAGTGAGTCATAATCTTTGCTGGTGGGGGTGGTCTTGCCTCGATGTTGATGGCTGCTGACTGATGAGGGTGGTGGCTGCTGAAGCTGGGCATGGCTGTGGCAATTCCTTAAAATAAGACACTGATGAAGTTTGCCCCAGTGACTGACTCTTCCTTTCACGAATGATTTCTCTATAGCAGGTGGTGCTGTTTGATAGCATTTTACCCACAGTAGAACTTCTTTCAAAATTGGAGTCAGTCCTCTCAAACCCTGCCTCTGCTTTATCAACTGAGTTTATGTAATATCCTAAATCCTTTGTTGTCATCTTAACCAGGAGTAGATTCCATCTCAAGAAACCACTTCCTTTGCTCGAAGCAACTCTTCGTCTGTTCAAGTTTGATCATGAGATCGCAGCAATTCAGTCCCATCTTCAGGCTCCACTTCTAATTGGTTCTCTGGCTGTTTCCACCTCATGTGCAGTGACTTCCTCCACTGAAGTCTTGAGCCCCTCAAAGTCGTCCATGAGGTCCGGAATCAACTTCTCCAAAACTCCTGTGAATGTGTATATTTTGACCTCTTCTTGTGAATCATGAATGTTCTTAATGGCATCTAGAATGGTGACTCCTTTCCAGAAGGTTTTTAATTTACTTTGCTCAGATCCATCAGAGAAATCACTGTCTGTGGTAGATATTGCCTTATGGGATGTATTCCTTAAATACTAAGACTTGAAAGTGGAAATGACTCCTTGATCCGGGGACTGCAGAATGGATATTTTTTTTAGCAGGCATGAAAACAATATTAATTTCATTTTCATCTCAATCAGAGTTCTTGGGTGACCAGGTGCATTGTCAATGAGTAGTCATATTTTGAAAGGAAACTTCTTGAGCAGTAGGTCTCAACAGTGGGCTTAAAATATTCGGTAAACCATGTTGTAAGCAGATGTGCTGTCATCCAGGTTTTGTTGTTCCCTTTATAGAGCACAGGCAGAATAGATTTAGCATCATTCTTAAGTTTCCTGGGATTTTCAGAATGGTCAGTGAGCATTGGCTTCAATTTAAAGTCATCAGCTGCATTAGCCCCTAAAAAGAGAGTCAGCCTGTCCTTTGAAGCTTTGAAGCCAGGCATTGACTTCTCCTCTCCAGCTGGGAAAGTCCTAGATGGGCTCTTCCATACTAAGGCTGTTTTGTCTGCGTTGAGGATCTGTTGTTTAGTGTAGCAGCTTTCATTAATTATCTTAGCCAGATCTTCTGGATAACTGGCTGCTTCACTTTGCACTCTTATGTTATGGAGATGGGTTCTTTCCTTGAAGTGCATGAACCAACCTGTGCTCGCTTCAAGCATTTCTTCTGCAGCTTCTTCACCTCTCTCAGCCTTCATGGAATTGAAGAGAGAGCCTTGCTCTGGATGAGGCTTTGGCTTAAGGGAGTGTTGTGGCTGGTTTGACCTTCTATTTGGACCCCTAAAACTTTCTCCATATCACCAATAAGTCTGTTTTGTTTACTTACCTTTTGTGTGTTCTCTGGAGTAGCACTTTTAGTTTTCTTCAAGGACTTTTCCTTTGCATTCATAACTTGGCACAAGAGGCCTATTTTTTCGCCTATCTTGACTTGACATGCTTTTTTCACTAACCTAATCATTCCTAGTTTTGACTTGAAGAGAAAGATGTGATTCTTCCTTTCACATGAACCTTTAGAAGCTATCGTAGGGCTGTTAATTAGCCTAATTTCAATATTGCTCTGTTTCAGGGAGTAGGGAGGTCCAAGGAGAGGGAGAGAGACGGGGAATGGCCAGTCCATGGAGCGATCAGAAGACATATACAACATCCATTGATTAAGTTAACCATCTTACATGGGTGCGGTTTGTGGTGCCCCAAGAGAATTCCAGTAGTAATATCAAGGATCACTGGTCCCAGCTCCCATAACCAATATGAGAAAGTTTGAAATGCTGCGAGAATTACTAAAATGTGACACAGAGATACAAAGTGAGCAAATACTGTTGGAAAAATGGTGTCAATAGACTCTCTTGAAGCAGGATTGCCACAAATCTTCAATTCGTAAAGAACATAATTATCTGTAAAGTGCAATAAAGCAAAATGCAACAGAGTGAGGGATGGCTGCAGCTAATATTGACCAGGTTTCACGGCACACTGCTACAGCCCACACCATTGACATCGGGTTCATTTTCTAGATGAGGAACAAAGACTTCCAAGATGGTAAGACACTTGCTCAAGGAACCCAAAACTGTGACCCTAAAGCCTATGTATTTTCAACACCCAGGGGCGTTGTTTAGAGGCCCACTGGTTTATTTAGCCTCAGACCTCAACACAAACGTCTTGTCCCCCAGAGATGGGCTCATTCAGCTTCCCACACTACAGTTCTGCTCTGTACGGCTTTGGGAAGGGGGATGGAGAGACTTGCAGGGATGGCTACTTACTGATGCACTTGAGATTGGGAATTGTCCACTGGGCCATGTTCATGGTCTTGTTGAACACGCATTCGGTCAGGCTGGATGTCCCGGCTTTACGCTTGAAGCCAGAGTTACATGTGTACCGCTCCCTGGAGCTCACGTTGTAACTCTTGACCCGGATGTCTGCATGTTCGACCGACATGGGAGGAGGGCATGTGATGCCTGCAGGGGTGCAGATAAGACAGGACAGATGAACACATTTCAGGTTGTTTAGAGGTGTTCTCCGGGGCAACATGGGTGGCACTCAGTGCCTTTGTAGCCAGGGTCTGGCTTTCCGAGGGGCCCCTTAGGATACACCCCAGGTTCTAAGCATGTGGAAAATGTTCAGTAAGGGCTCTCATCATTTAGAAGCCTTCCAGGAGCCTTGTCTTAAGTGCTCACCAACCAGCATGGCTAGGGACTGGGGAGTCATCCGTGGAAACCCCTTTCCCTTCCCTTCACTCCCCATCAGTCTCTCACCATCTCTATCTCTTTGGCCCCATCCAGCCTGGCCTCTGCACTCTCTTGCCTGAAAGCAGCAATAACCTTTGAATTGGTCTCCCTGCCTGTTCTCCCTGAAAGCCTTTAATCCATTTCTGTAATACAGCCAGTCATCTTCAGAAATGCGCATTGGATGACTTCACTCCTTCCTGGTTGCCCGCTGCTCTTAGAATAAAAACTAAAATCCTCAAGAAGTCTTCAGTGCTCTGCTGGACCTGCCCCCAACCCCCCCCAGCTACTCTTCCCCCTGGCCACTCTGGCCTTCGGTCCACGCCCCCCAGGCCACTCACCATGCCCACTGCTCTCCCCAGCCCATCTCCTGCCATCCTTCCTAACGTGAACATGACTTTCTCAGGAAAGCCTTCCCTCCCCTCCCCACCCAGTCAGCCAAGTCCCATAGTTCTGTGTTCTCTCCCTGTGCGGCCAGCCACTTTCATGGTTCTACCAAAGACAATGAGATGATGTAAGGGCTGTGTCTCATCATTTGCACTTTGAGTGGTGGCAGCGGGGGGCACATCTGTCTTGCCCAATTGGGTTCTCTGAGCCTCGTACAATAGCTGTTCAAGAAAGAGCATTCAGAGAATGATGCTTATTATGCACATGCCCTTTACCCCAGCAATTTCACTTCTAAGAATTTACCTTACAGATATACTGGTATATTTATGGAGTGAGTATGTACAAAGTTATTGGTCATAATAGCCAGTACCTATAAATTACCTTGTATGTGGTCAGCAGGAGACTAATTTAGTAAATTACAATACAGCTACCCTACGAAGAAGTACCACCCAGCTCTTTACAGTAGATGAAGAAAGCTCTTTGTGCACCGAAGTGGAAAGATCTCCAAGATACACTGTTAGGTTAGGAAGAAAAGGAATAGAACCCTATGTTTTATATGCTACCATCAGTAAAAAAAGAAGAAATGGTACCTATACACAATATTTTGTCTGTACATAAAATCTCTGAAAGGATGCAAGAGACTATTAACACTGGAGATGAGGCAGCTGAGAGATGCACTGGGAGAGACTTTTTACTGAATGCCTTTTTGTCCTTTTTTTGGGGGGGGGGGGTCTTTTCATACTTCCTGAATCTTTAGTGGTGCAAATGTTTTACCAGTTAAAAATGCTTTTGAGGGGTGCCTGGGTGGCTCAGTTGGTTAAGCATCTGCCTTCGGCTCAGGTCAGGATCCCGGGGTCCTGGGATCAAGTCCCGCATCAGGCTCCCTGCTCAGCGGAGAGTCTGCTTCTCCCTCTGTCTCCCCCCCACACCCCCCACCCTGCTTGTGCTCTCCCTTATATTTAACAAGCAGTGCCACCCAGATGCTGACCAATCAGAATAGCTGCTAGAAATACTTGGGACTGGGGGAGGGGTGACCACTGGCCACAGATGAAAGGCCACACTGATGAGGACTGGCAGAATATTAGTTGTGCCTATATGTTACACTGTTTTAAATATATGAAATACTGAATAATAGAAAGGTAGGGGATGGGAGATTTTAAAGTACCCTGCCACAGGAACTCAGAAATCTTGGTTGAGCCTAGGGCAGGACAGGGATAAATCCTGCTGAGTGGCGGGTGTTTGGTGCTTCGGCTGTAATATGTTACCTGCTACAGGAATGTGAGAAATGCAGGAGATTCTGGAATTAGGAATTTTTGCCTTTCTCTGAGCAAGTGAAGGCAGCGTGGGGAAAAATTAAAGGCGAGAAGTTTGGCAAGGTCATCTGGGAGGATTCTGGACACCCTTTTGGGAGACAGCTCCCCCCCCCCACCCCAGTCACTCCCAGCAGACTGTGGACATGACAAAGTGCATGCCAAGTGATACCTTTTATCAGAAGAATGTCACCAAAAGAAGGTAAGAGCCAGAGCTAGAACGATTCAGTTTTCTCTAACTTGTACAACCATGTTAAAAATGTCCCTCTTCTTTTAATTAGAATCTGAAAGATTTGAGCAAGACTTAGAGCCCATGATTTTCCTCAGTCTGAAACTTCCTGGCTAAAAGCAATGTCCTGGGACCTGCCCGATCATGTACATTCATTTCATTTTTGTGGCATTTCTACAGATAGGTGCTCAGTAGATCTGCAGATAAACTGGTCTAATGGCTTTTGGGAATGACACCTGGTGAAGTTCTCTCTCATGTCTGAGTTTTGGAATGTACCAGGAGCAGAGATTCTGGTCTGAAAGTCTGATGATTGAGCTACCTGCAAGTACGGTAAACAGTCCAAATCCCAAGTGGATGAGGTGAGCTCAGTCACCTACGCAGATTAGACCTTGGTGTTAGGTCTGAGGGGGACAGATTCTGGAAAATGGGACCATCTTCTGCAGCTGTGCATGTCACAGTGAGGATTCTGGCTTCTGGAACATGAATCCCCATCCATCCTGGAAAATGTAATGTCTTAATGATCTTAAGCTGGGTGTTCTAAATGGGGCCAGTTTCCTTCTGTATCCCTCAAATAAGCCACTCTTGTTTGATTTACCCAAATAGTATCTGTGCTTTCCAGCCATCTGAGCCTTCTTTGGGTTGGGCAGGATCTGGGGTCAGCTTTGACTGGCCATGGGCCCCCAAATGGCAGTTTTCTCCTTCCTTCTTACCTGCTCCCTGTGGGTTGGCCTGTCTCTGCCTAGAAACCCTAGCTTTGGGGACTAGGGCCCTGACCCCTGCTGCCCAGGTCTTTTCCTCCAGAGAGCAGTCCCTGGATTGCCACACTGCCCAGCCTCTGGCTTAGGTTTGGATGTCCAAGAATGACTGCCAGAATCACCAAGTGTCTGACTCTTGATTTCGGCTTGGGTCATGATCTCAGGGTTGCAGGATTAAGCCCCATGTCGGGTCCACACTGGGTGTGGAGCCTGCTTGGGATTTTCTCTCTCCCTCTCCCTCTGCCCCTCCCCTCCCCCACTCATGGGCACACAGCCTCTCTCTAAGAAAGAAAGAGAGAGAGAGAAAGAAAGAAAGAAAGAAAGAAAGAAAGAAAGAAAGAAAGAAAGAAAGAAAGAAAGAAAGAAAGAAAAGAAAGAAAGAAAGAAAGAAAAAGAAAAGGAAAGGCAGAGGAAGTATTCCAGACTGAAAGAGGCTAAAGAGACATGGCAACAAAATGCCAAATGTGGCCCTGGATTAGATCCCGAATTAGGGAGAAAATGGTGAACAAGGCCATTATTGGGATAACGGACAGATTTTGAATACAGCCTGAGTATTAGATAATAATATTGTGTCAAGGTTAAATTTCCTGATTTTTTATAATTGTTCTGTGGTTATGTGAGAGTGTTGTGTTTTAAGAAGGTATGTTACAGAACATATTCTTAGGAAATATATACTGAGTATTTAGGCATAAAGGGGCATAATGTCTCCAACTTACTTTCAAATGCTTTAGAGGAAAAAGCACATGTGTAATAAATATATTTGGTTAGAGATGGGGGATGATAAAGCACTGGGGCAAAATGTAAACAGTTGGTGAATCTGGGTAAAGGGTATTCAGAGGTCTTTTCTGTTTTTGCAGTTTTACTCTAAGTTTGAGGTTGCATTAGAGTAAGTTAAAAAATAAGCAAAGTAAGTAACCAAACAAAAACCACTTGGTGAATGTCGCTTGGGTCCCTTTCTTTGAGGATTGCTTTTTTTTTTTTTTTTTAAAGACTTTATTTGACAGAGAGAGAGCACACAAGCAGGATGGAGCCACCCAGGCGCTGAGGATTGCTCTTGAAGGAAACCCTAAGAGCCTTTGACAACTCAGGCCAAGATTATAGTTTAGTCAGGAAAATGTCCTTGAATTATCTCCCTACTTGTGGTTTTCGGAGTGCTGCCTTTCCCTCTTTCCTTGTCCCCAATTCACACTGTTTAGAGTTCCTCCTTCCATTTCCAGGGTCTAAAAGTAGTGTTTGCACTCTCTCCACATTTGGTATTTTGACTGCAGCTTTGGTTTGTGCGGGTTCATCATTGCCATATTTGAGTCCTCGTTCTGCTACATCAGCTCTGCTCCTTATGCCTTCATCTTCATCTTGGGCCCTCTAGGTCAGCGATTCCTAAATGTGAGTGTACAGTAGAACCACCTGGAGGGTTTGTTAAAGCTCAGAGGGCTGGGCCATCCTCCCGGAGCTCCTGAGTCAATAGGTCTGGGGCAGGGCCTGAGAATCTACATTTCTAACCAGTTCCAGGTGCCAATGATGCTGCGGGAAGCATGCCCCATCCCACATAGAACCATACTACATGGCATTCACAGGTGTAGAGTCTCCCAGCATCAAGTTACTTTCTAGTGTGGATTTAAAGCTTCTCTTGAAGTTATTAACAACTATTTGTTCATACCTTTCTATGGTGTTGATACCATCCATGAAGATTTCTTTTACAGGTTCCTCCTGATGTGCTCTTCTGAATTTCTAGTCTAACAGTTTTTAATTGGGCCCAGTTCCCCCACCTCCATCTAAAAAATGTACTCACCCACTGTGCACATGTGTGCGTATGTGTGTGTGTGTGTGGGGGGGGTAATTAGCTTGGTAGTACCATGGGTTTAGCTCCATGCCACCAAAATCTTAAATCTGTGTTTGTGGGGTGCTTTACTCTATGTTAACATAGATGGGAAAATACTTAGAGATGGAGGGTGGGGTGGAACGAGGAGGAATGATCATAAAACATGCCACTTTAGAAATATTTAACAGTAGACCAGAGCACATAGTCCCATAAAAATACTAGACTCTGCTCTA